TCCTCAGGCTCCAACAGACATTCTTTCCCTCACCTGTCCAGCCTAGACTAGGGTCTGTGCTTCTCCTCAAGGTGTCTTTTCTCCATTTCTGTACACGCTTAAATAAAGCTTGTTAAATGCCCTCACTCAAAGGCATCCCTGATTCCTGCTCAGTCTGCCCCCCACCCGTAGACAAGGCTCTGGACCCATGGAACAGAAGCTTGGCCTCAGACATTCTGCCTGGCTATAGATCCTGGCTTTCTACTTCTAGTCACGCGAACCAGGGCAGGGAACGGTTCTTTGCCTCAGTGATTATGCCAAGAGGGCAGCCCTCTTGGTCATCAGGTTCCTACACCATCAGTCCAGATTGAAGCATCTAAAAATAATTTCAGGGATAAAACTGACTCAACAGAAAGCCTGCCTGAAACCACTTAAATCACTGCCACAACTGGGACAGAATCTGCAATTAAAGTGACAAAAACGAAATGACTTGTTAAAACCAGAAAATTAGTCATAGTCACAGTAACATGAATATTCTTGTGCTTAAATTATCAGAGAATTCGGACGGTGGTGGTGCAGGCCTTTAATCCCAGCACTCTGGTGTGAGTTCGAGGCCAGCCTGGTCTACAGAGTGAGTTCCAGGACAGGCTCCAAAGCTACAGAGAAACCCTGTCTCCAAAAAAAAAAAAAACAACAAAAAATTATCCGAGTATTCATGTTCTCTCTGAACTTCAGAAGTAACCTAGGGGGGGCAGGCTGAAAAGGATGCAGGCGTGGGCCGTGGCTACATTCCTCTTCCGGCAGGGCAAGTCTGCAAGCAGTGATCAATCTAAAACATTTAAAGGGTGCTAAGGAGATGCCTCAGGCAGTAAAGTGCTTGCTGCACAAGCATGAAGACCAGAATTTGAACCACAGAACCCACACAAAAACAAACTAACGAAAAACTAGGGGGCTACAGAGATGGCTCAGTGGTTAAGAGCACTTGCTGCTCTTGCAGAAGACCTGGGTTCAGTTCCCAGCACCAGCTACCAGCCCACAATTGTCTAACTCTAATTCTAGAGATCTGATTCCCTCTTCTGACTTTTGTGGGCACTAGGCATGCATGTGGTACACATACATATATGGAGGCAAAACACTCACATATAAATTTTTTAAAAGCCAGTGAGGTGTATTGGTATACACCTTTAAACTCTGTAGTCAGAAAGCAGAGAGAGGCAAGAAGATCTCTCATGAGCAAGATCTCTCGTGAGCTGGAGGCTAGCCTGGTCTATACAAGATTTTCAGGCCAGTTAAGGACATACAGTGAGACTCTGTTTCAGCTAAAACTTAAAGATTTTATTTGGGACTGGAGAAATGACCCAGCAGTTAAGAGTGCTTACTGAGCCAGGTGGTGGTGGCACACACCTTTAATCCCAGCACTCAGGAGGCAGAGGCAGGTGGATCTCTGTGGATTCGAGACCAGCCTGGTCTATACAGTTAGTTTCAGGACAGCTAGATCTATCACATAGAGAAATACTGTCTCGAAAAACCAATAGATAAAAGATAGATAGATAGGGAATATTTACTGTTCTTCCAGTGGATCTTAGTTCAGTTCTCAGTACCCACTTATATCAGGCACCTCACAACCAGTTGTGACTCCAATTCCACGGGATCCAACATCCTATGGCCTCAGAAGGCACCTGCAAGCACTCCCGCACACCACACGCATGTATACTCACACACACACAGTGTGACTAAGTTCACAGAGGCACACAACACACCCACAGAGATAAGAATAAATCTAGAAAAAGAAGACCAGCTGTGGTGGCACTTGTAATCTCAGCACTAGGAGGGAGGGATGTAGACCAGAAACTTCTCCAGGGCTTGCTGACCAGCCTACCTGAATCCATGAAGCCCAAGGAAGAGATCCTATTTCAAAAAGAAAAACAAACAAGTTTTCCAGTTCCTTAGAAACACGACCTTTGGTTAAACGCTGGCGTACGTACGTACATACGTACACACACACACATACACACACACACACACACACACACACACACACACACACACGGTTCTCTGAGTAAGTAATTACATCAACAAACTTGAAAAGCTCCAAGTCCTGCTTCTGGGGAAGAAACATAGCCCTGAAGACTCCCAAAGCACACCCTCTAAAAGCTCAAAGGCAGAATGTACCCCTCGGCAAGTCTCTGCTCCTTCCTATCCCAAAGCAGAGTGATGTCCCAACACCACAGAGCCTTGTGCAAACAAACCAGAGCATAGCCAAATACTAGAAACAATCTTAGAATAGTTCTTACTGTGAACCAAAGACCAAAGGTCAGTACCTACTGCACTCTGCCATGTACTCTATGATCACCCCCTACACACCCACACCCACACACACCCGCAAGACACTGACTTTGTGGTGCTACAACTCAAAAAGGTTTTCCAGAAGTTGAGCAGACGGCTGCAAGGTCACACAACTAGTTAGGAAGAGGCCTCAGCTGTTCCTGCTCTGGGCTTCTACCACACAGGCCTGTCACTCAAATGATCACGCTTTGCAGCCTGAGAGCTTCCTCTTAAGAGCATGAATCCCTGAAAAGAAAGCAGAGTTCAAGCCCTCTGGTCCACCGACACACAGTCTTCCAGAAGGTCCTCACCTCAACAGATCCCAGGCTAGCAGTTCCTAGGGGATCACTTGACCAGAAAAAATGGTTAGGAGTCAAGGCCGGATCACTCTCTGACCAGGAATTACTCTTTTCACATCCTGATTCGTCCCACAACCCCGTTTCTGTCTACAGCCATGGGCTGGTTTCTCCCGCACTGTTGGAACCTGGCGTTTCGGGAGCCCAAAAAAGATCAGTAAGTGCTGAAGGATCCAAGGCAGCGCTCAGGGATGCTAACGGGTCAAAGAAACCTTTCAGTCGGCCGCTGTCCTAAGCTGCAGCAAGCCATGGTGTGCACGGGTGCGGAAACTTAACAACTCCGCTCCCAACGCCAAAGTGTCCCACGCCACACAGCGGCTCGTGTCGTCTGGTTCGTGTCGTACGAGCTGCCAGCCCGGGAGCCGCTACTCATCCCTAGGGTGGAGTGGCGCTCGGATTTCTATCGGAACCTGTCGGGATGGCCTCCACCGCGTCAACTTTTCCCCGAACCCCGCCGGATGGGACCCACACTGACCTGGCGCCTTCGCCCAGCTCCCCGTGCGTGTTGTAGTTCACAGTCATGACCTTCACTGACTCCTTGAACACCACGTCCCCGCGGTTCAAGTACTGCAGCGTGCGGCGGATAGGGAAGCGACCCTTCATCGGCATGGCGGCGGCGTCACCAGCTTCTCGAGCCGCGGACTCGCGGGTCTCCCAGACGCGACGCAGGGAATCTCGGGAGGCGTCTCCCGGCGGGCCGCGCAGCCGCAAAGCGGCCTGGGACTTGTAGTCCCGACCGGGCTTGCAACCGTTCCCGCTCTGAAGTCAACTGGTCGGTTTGTCCTTGTGGAAACCAAGTGTCCTCTCCCAAGATCTCCAGTTCTGAAATGAAGCTCGACTGAGAAGTCCTATTGAGTCATAAAAACTGATTTGCAATGGAGGAAATAACGTGACTTGCTCTGTCGCGTCCGGGTTGGCTCTGAAGGACTCTGCTCAGAAGATATGACAGATACTTCACTCTAGGAGTCAACAACCAATGTCACTCTGCGCTGTAACGTTTTAAAGATTTTTTTCTTTTTGTTTTTTCGAGACAGGGTTTCTCTGTAGCTTTGGAGTCTGGCCTGAAACTAGCTCTTGTAGAAAAGATTTATTTTTATCTTGGCGTCTTGCGTGTGTTTTGTTTATGCATTACGTGCATGCAGTGCCCACAAAGGCCAGAAGGGGGCGTGAAACTGGCGTTACAATGGTTATGAGCAGCTGGAAACTGAATCCTGGTCCTCTCCAAGAGCAGCAACTGCTCTTAACTGCTGAGCCATTTTTCCAGTCCCTCATACTGTAATTTTTATCATTGTTTATAGGTGAAATGGGTTTTTCTTCAGACTTCCCAAGATTTTTCCTTTGTGCTTAGCTTATGAAGTTTGAGATATGCAGAGTATAATTTTAGTATTTGTCCTGCTTTGTGTTCTCTGAGCATCCTGGCTATTTGGCTTCCAGGTTATCATTCAGTTTTTGGTTTTCGGTTGAGACAGAAGTCCTGATCCTCCTGTCTCTGCAGACTCCCAAGTGCTGGAATTATAGGCATGAGTTTTATATGTTTTAATTCAAACTCTAAGTTCTTTCCCCACCCCCACCCCATTTTAAACTTTGCTTTTTACATTTCCACTGACTTCCATAGCTTTGTAGATGAACTTCCTACTGATAAGCATATTACAGCATGTTCCATTTGTTAATCCTTTATTTCTAATACTTTCTTTCCATACTTAGTGTTTTTACTTCTGCTCACATTATCCAACTGCTCTGGGGGTGTCCTATGAACACATGGAGGCTGGAGGAAGACAAGTTTCCTTGAGACAAGTATCCAGTTCTATTTCTTCCTGTTTCCTATTACTTTGCAACACAGGATTTGAGTTTGATCCTCAGAACCCACAAAAGTGTTGAGCATGATGACATGCATTTGTAATCCCAGTGTTGGGGAGGGGAAGACAAAAGGATCTTTGGGCCTCGCTGACCAGCCAGTCTAGCCTAATTGGACAGTTTTAGGATGAGAAACTCTGCCTAAAAGAAAGCAGATGGAGACCAGGCAGTGGTGGCACACACCTTTAATCCCAGCACTTGGGAGGCAGAGGCAGACAGATTTCTGTGAGTTCGAGGCCAGCCTGGTCTACAGAGCGAGTTTCAGGACAGGCTCCAAAGCTACAGAGAAACCCTGTCTTGAAAAACAAAAACAAAAACAAAACAAAAAAAAAGAAGGTAGATGACTTTCCTAAGGCTGATTACCCAAGGTTGTCCTCTGGCCTCCATGTGCACATATGAACACGTGTGCATGCACACACACACACACACACACACACACACACACTACCAAAGGGGGTTGGAGGGATGTTTTAAGCACATATACACTGAGCAACAAAATGTCATTTCTTTAATAAAAGACTCATATACATGTTATTTTATTTTTTAATAAAAGCCTGATACAAGGCCCAGTGTAGTGCATGCACATCAATGGCCATCAAGCTGACAGTCACCATGATTACCAACACATCATGTTCCTCTAGTTGGCCTAGTACAGAGACCAAATCCTCAATTCAAATCAAATGACCTAGCTATGCCACATGGCTCATGATGACTTAGAAAGACATTTTAGCATCTGACGACAAAGACATGATGAGCAGTAAGTGCAGTGAGTGGGGCTCCAGTTCCTTAGTGTGTTAGGAGGGGCAAAGCCAGAAGCCCTTCCGCAGATGAAACTGACCTCCGTCTAGGGGGTGTGCCAACTCCCTCTCAAGGACGTGCTCCGTCACTGAAGCACCTCTGAAATCATGAAGGGTTCACATGAGGTATCCTGTGTAGCTATGCTCACAGGCAATCCCCCTCTGCAAACCAACCTTGACCTACATAAATTCTAGAAAGTGATAGAGTCTCCCCTGTCATGTCTGACTTAGAGATATGGCCAAAGAGGAATTCAAAGAGAAACTCAGTGAAACCTCTGGCATGCGTTTACTTGGTGCACTACTCAGTGAGTTGAGATTTAAAAGCATTAGTTTTTCTCCACGCTCTCAGCCACAGACCGCTCCCTGCAGGTGAGTTCATTTAGTGAGTCACCAGCTAATTAAGAAGCCCTGTCTCATGAGAAAAGCAATGTCTACAGCCATACCAGTCTGAACACCTGATCTATGTCAGGAAAAGTAGTGGTGGGAACCCGTATTCAGCTTCACTCTGTGTTGAGCTGCCTCCTCTTTGATCAGACAAGGCAGTCCAAGCAGGGTAGATATCCTGGACATGCCTAGAACCCTAGGGCAACAGCATCTAGAGCCTGGGCCTTAAGAAGAGAAGAAGAGGACTGCCCCAGGAAACATGGGTCCAGGTTGCCCACCTCTCAGAACAGCCGGTGACACCAACAGAGCTGGCAATACACTCACAGGTCAGTAAACACGTGCTGTTGACAGAACCCAAAGGGTCCTCCATTACCCTCCCCCTTCAGCCCTTCCCACATCCCCAAACAGGACTTCCTACCCAGTCAAAGCCCCAACAGGTACTAATGAACAGCTGCCAAAACAAAGTTCTTTGCATCCAGATGCCACTCTTACCGCCAAGATGGCTTTTCACCAGAATGTTACGGAAGAATTTCAGCTCATGTGCCAATCACCAACAGAAGCCTTGGCTAAGGCAGAAAGGGACTAGTGGTCAGTTACTGACCATTAACTAAAGAGTATCACTGGAGAGAGTATGCAAAGCTGAGCACACCAGGCATCTGTCAACCCCTCTGTTCCTGTAAACTAAGCACTAAGCTACGTAACTTCCCTTTCTGTCCCTATCAGAGTTCAAGTACTTCAGGGCTGTGGAATGATCAGAGGCTGTGCATCAAATATTTCTGTTTCTCAGTACTCAAAGCAGTAAGAAAACACCTGCCCAGTTTCCCAGGTCAGGATGAACCACAGTGAAGAAGGCTGACTGGGGAGCTGACTCAGAATTCCATCTGATGCCAATACTCCACAAAAGCTTTCTGGTCAGATTCCCAAATCACACCACAGGCCCTTCAATATAACCTTTGGTCATTCCGCCAAAGCCCTGGAAAGAGGTTTCCATGGACAGACAACTGTTCAGGTAGAAACTTCTCCAAACCATAACATCCACCAAAAAGCCTATCTCATAATCAAGCTCACAGTGACACCCCTGCACTTGGATACTGTCCTTTCTTTAACCAGGAGGGGACAATACTCACAACATCCCCACCATCCACAGAGAGGCACTGGTCGCCTTGGGTCCAGACCTCCCTTCATAGCAGCTTCTCCCTAAGTGTTCAGGGGACAGCCCCAGCAAGAAGGCGGTGAAAGGGAGCAGCCAGACTAGGACAGACTCCTGCCAGAGCCCCTACCTGTCTTGGCTACAGGAAGGGGCCCACCAAGGGCTGACCTATAATACTGCATCATGACCAAGAACAGTCAGCAGAAAAGAGACCAAGGTGCCCAGGAGACCTTTCTACCTTGGCCCAACAGAGCTGCACTGAGCTGTATCTCAGAAATAAAATGGTAAAGTTCCCTGAAAAGGGAATGCTTTGTTAAAAAAATAATACAGAAAAACCAGCAAGCGAGTGCTGATTTGTTTCCTGTTTTTGTTCAACTGTAGTGGAAATGCCTCACAGTGCACAGCAACAAGAGACTACTGCTCCCCACCTCACTGTTGGCATCATTAGATGCCCACCCTTCTCCTCCTCCCTCTTGGTACCCTGCTGCCCAAGACTTTGCCCGGTACTGGCCCACTGCCGTCAGTTAGGGCCCCCCTTTTGCTTAGCCAGGGTACACTTCAGCTCCCGAAGGTTCTCAGTCAGCACCTCAACCTCGTCCATTCGACCACACTGCTTGGCATCAAAAATATAAGCCTTGATGTTGTCAATCTGCTGTAGGAGCAGCTCCTCTTCGATGTGCTCCTCAGCCTCCGTGCCACTGTCACTGTCCACCTCAAAGGGGTTGGTGCAGGGGCACTCTTCAAAAGGATTTCCAGGGGCAGGTGGGCTGGCAGGCCTGGGATGCTCATCCTCATCAAAGGGGTTGGGTGCTGGACTGTTTGGGTCAGTGAAGGGATTGCCTGCCCCCAACTCTGCCACCTCCTCTTCCTCGGCATCTTCCTCAAAAGGATTGTATTCTCTGGTGACAGCAGCTGAGGGGCTCAGGAAAGTTTCTGTAGCAGCAGGGCTGGCAGCATCCTCTGCAGGGCTGGAGAAGTCTTCTTCATCAAACGGGTTGAGAGAGGTCTTTTCACTTTGCTGTGGTACGGTGCTCTGGCTAAGCGCTGGGGGTCCAGACCACAAGCGGATGGGTGCTAAAGCGCAGCCAGGTGAAAGGGTCCCGGGAGCAGCGCTGCCCGGAACTGGGGAGGAGTCCTGATCTAAGGCATAGGCAAGATCACTGTGAGGCGCTTGGCTGGGCTCCAGCTGGAAGGGGACGACTTCTCGGAGGTCTAGAGCACGAGTCCGTGGGTGCACGGACGCCGCCAGGAACTGCTCTTGCTCTCGTTCCAGCTCCCGTTTGCGGAGCATCTGGAGCTGCTCTCGTTGCAGCTCCTCCTCCTCAGCCTGCCTCCGGGACAGCTCAATGGCCTTCTCAGTCTGCTGCTGGTCGTACTCATCCTGCAGCTGCCGCAGGTTTTCCTGAAGTGTGCGCACCTCATCTGTGCGGCCTGCAGCCTTGGCCTGCCTGATGAAGGATGTAATGTTGTAGATCTGTTGGAGGAGAGGGTCAGGGTCTTCACTCTGTCCCTGACCTTCTGACAGTGGGAGCCAGCCCTCAGCTTTTCGCAAGGGGGCAGGGATGCCTCGGAGAGACCTCACTTCCCCATTGGCTGCACGAGATGCCAAACCACTCTGTCTTTCCTCGAGCTTCCGTCGGGACTCCAGAGCAGCCTGCAGAGACAGCACACACCACCAGGGTCACCATGGTCACCTGTCCATCACCCTCCATGGGCCCCACAACACTAAGATAATTCAACTGCTGAAACAGGTAGTCACAGAAGGGCAGGTTTAGATTTGCAAAAATAAAACATAAGTTGAGATTTCCTCCAACTCAGTTTCACTGGTTGTACACTTTTCTTAAACTTTCAAAGACTGGCGCCTTTATTTACATAAGGTTAGCATTTCAGATGATACTAGAGTACACATAGTTTTCTGTTTGCATTTTGTTTTTTGTGGTGCTGGGGATAGAACCAGGGCCTTGAGCATGCTAAGCAAGCATTCTATTACTGAGCTATGAAACAGCGCCCTCATTTGCTTACAAATGACACGGCCTCACTATGTAGCCCAGGCTGGGCTGGAACTTAAAGAACTCCTTTCTCAGCCCCCTGAGGGCTGGGATCCAGGCATGTACCACTACACCTGCTCTTTTCTGTTTAACTGCACATTATAAGGTCTTCTGGAACAGAGGGAGAATTGCCAGTCCCTGTGGTGGTCTAGGCAGGAGAGCATCAACAGGAAAAACAACTATTTTTCTAAGGCCACAACAGAAGGCAGCTTGAAAAGGAGATTCAGCAGCAGAGGGGTGGGGTAAGAGAGCAGGGAGGCAACAGCTACTGGGTGACTGGGTGCCATGTACCTGTCTCTCCATGGTCCTCTTCTGTTCCAAGTCCTGCTTCCTCTTCTTTTTTAGTTCTTCAAACTGTTCTTTGGTTGGCAGTGACATCAAACCCAGTAATTTTTCCTGTAGGAGAGTAACAGATAATTCTACACTTAAGTGGTTTCTTTGGGGGCGGGGGTGGCTGGGCCTTAAACCTTATACATTTAAGCTAAGCCACTCCACCCACTGACAGGAAGGACACTGTTTGGCTAGGGGCTTCACCCCAGCTCCTGGCATAAGCCCCCTCCCCTGGGAGTTGCCTCAATCCAAACTCCACCTCCAAGAAAGCCCACAAATGGTGACCCCTCCTGGGGGGGGGGCAAGACCATTCCCACAGGCTATTTAAACTACTTCCCAGAGAATGAACTGGTGGTATCCTAGTTTTCCATAGTCTTTCCGTTCTCTGTTTCTCCACTCCGTGTTTTCCCGTGGGGTCACCCAGGACTGCTGGCACCCATTAAACCTGGACATCTTTTAATTTGGTCTGATATGGTTTGATTTGGATTATTGCATCAGCAGAGAGGTTTGTTGGTTTGAAAAATACTTAATGCACTCATGCTAATTGGCAGGCACCTTTCAGATGTGTAGGGATAAGTCCAGCCCCTTAGGGGGCATGTTCACCTCGGGCTAATGTTTACCTATAAATCTGGCGAGCCTGCTCCCAGCCGCCCCTTCTGCTTTCCTGGTCTCCATGGGAACGGTGGTTCTGTAAGTCTATTTCCCCATTAAAGCTGTATATATTTTTACAATCTGTCTGCATTCATTTACGCCGTTACATTTTGGCGTCCAACATCAGGCTATTTTGCCCCCGCCCTGGCACGGGGGGGGGGGGGCACAAGCTCGATCTTTCCCAGCCTTTGCGAGCAAGATTAGCTACTGGAGCTCGGGAAGCGCAATTGGACTCAAGCGCGTAGCCCGCTAGCTAACACAGCACGCTCCCGGGTGCCCGTTTTTTAGTTCGTGACTAGGGCCCCAGTACCAAGTCCGAGATACACTAGGCCACAAAGGCCCATTCCGCCCCGCCTGCTCGCCGAAGCAATTAACCCCTCCCCGCCTGCCTTGGCTAGTTTGCAGTGGAACCCCGCTGCCTGAATTAGCGGAAGCTCAAGTACCTGCGGTTTTGCAACAAAAGCCGCCACAGCAGCAGATTTGGTCTAAAAGTGACCCCTTCCGAGACCACTCTAACTCCTCAGACAGAACAATAACTTTCGGTTTTGAGTTGTTTCAGACTGGCTCTGGCTTCGGCCACGTGGACTCAAGTGCATTTCTTTCGCCACCACTGGCAGGAACCGGTCATTGCAGGTAAAAAATTTTCTTTTATAAATAAAATGTCTGAAAACGTTACCATTCAAGACTTGAACAGTTTTTTTGATTGTACCATGTGGGAGATTTTACAAGAGGTGTCTGTCACCCCACATCTATGGATCCTTCTGGGATTCGTAGTTTTCCTTGGCACTATATAGTTTGATAATAGAAAAATGATAGTCTTTAAAAGACGAATCAAGGATTATTAAGGCAGAGGTTGAACGCTTAAAAACAATTGAGAATGACAACAATCTTCTCAAGAATCAGTTTGAAGTTCTCCAGGAAGAGAACAGATCTTTGTTTAACATGACTCGATCAACTGAGCAAAATTTAGAAAAGGTACAGGCTGATGTTAAGGAGAAATTCATTACTATGGAAGAGGGAACAGCTGATTTGGATTGTAAGCTTCAGTCCCTTTCTGTAGGAACTGAAACATTAACTGAGAGAATCAAAACTGCTGAATGTGACAATTGGATTTTGTCTAAAGCTTATGACAGATTGGCGGAAAGATTGTCAATACAAGAAGGCACGGTTTATGCCATAAAAATTATGTCCAAAGATGAGGTGTTATCTCTTATGGACAAACTTCATACTTTAGAATCCTCAATGAAGGCTTTGGAACATAATTCTGGACAGGAGATTCAGACATTGTAGAAGGCAATGGTGAATAAAATTGAAAAGATTGAGGAATTTCTAAATTCTGATGAAGAAGAGCAAAGGGTAGAAAAGCAAATTTTAACTACATCTGTGGGTAAATCTCTCTGGGACAGTTTCCACAGAGCTCTACCTACAGCTCTACCTGCCTTTCCAGTAATAACAACAGAGAAGGTGATTGGTTCCAGAAACCCTAGGGTCATCAAGGAAGATACATGGGAGCCTGTCCGTATGAATGATCTCTTTATTAAACAGGCTGTCATGACTTTTGGGATGCACGCCTCTTTTGTAAAAGAGATGCTAAAATCTTGGGCCACGACAAGCAGAGCAACGCCCTCGGACTGGCTCCAGCTGAGCTCTGCGGTACTTGAGAGTGGACCGCAATTGAAAGGGAAATGCTTATTCAGGCAAGAGGCTAGACTTTTAGAACAGCAAGAAAAGGCGAAGGGAAGTGACATTTCCCTAGACAAGATTCTAAGTGAAGGGCTCTTTTCCGACCCTCAGGAACAAGCTAATTTGGATGAAAACACACTCTCCATGTGTACTACAGCAGCATTAAGGGCTTGGGACAGGGTACAAGACCCAGGACAGAGAATGGAATCATTTGTCACAGTTAAACAGGGTCAGAGAGAACCCTTTGGTGATTTTTCACAAAGACTAACTAAGGCTGTACAAATAGGGATATCTGACCCAGAAGCAAGACGTATAATGATTGAGTCTTTGGCTTATGGAAATGCAAATGTGGAAAGCAAAAGGATTTTGGGGCCTTTAAAGCCCAGATCAGCACACTTGGAAGAATGGGTCTTGCATACACTGGATGTTGATACATTTGATTATGGCACTGAAGCATGGGTAGAAGAAGCAATTTCCAATGGTAAAAGGAGACACCAGAATACCAAATGTTTTAATTGTGGCAAAATGGGTCATATGAAAAGGAATTGTAAACAATGGATCTTCAGAAATAATAATAATGCATCTTCTAGAAATAACAGAAATAGGAGGACTCAGCCTTCAGGTTTATGTAGAAGATGTGGAAAAGGTAGACATTGGACGAATGAATGCAGGTCTACAAGAGATAGACAAGGCAACCTGATACAGACGGGAAACGTGAGAGGGGGGGCCTCACAGGCCCCCATGGCAAACATGGTTCAGTCATTTCCAGTTTCTGCAGAGAACGTGCCTCGTCAGGACAATTAGGAAACCTCATGCCTACTGTTACAAACGATAATGAGCAGAAAGATGAGTTACGTGTGTTTTGGCAAACTTCTATAAATGATCAAAGACCTAAGCTGAGAGTGTGTGTAAATGGCATTTTTATTACTGGCCTGCTGGACACAGGTGCTGATGTAAGTATCATTACCCCAGAATCTTGGCATCCGTATTGGCCTCTTCAGAATGTAAATGTTCAGCTCCTGGGAATTGGAACCCTATCTCGAGTAAGACAGAGCACAAGATGGGTTGAATGTATAGGGCCTGAGGGACAAATAGGAAAATTAAGGCCATATGTAGCCAATATTGCAATGAATTTATGGGGTCGTGACCTATTACAACAATGGAATACCCAAATTAACATTCCTGCTACTTCTAGAGCCTATATTTCTGAGAATAATATTAAAAGATATTACAAACGGAGAAAACCGGCCATTCGGGCCATACAAGAACAAGTAATTGAAGCCCCTTCAGAGATACCAACAGCCTTGCCTCTAAAATGGTTGACTGAGAAACCAATATGGACAAAGCAATGGCCTCTAGCTGAGGAAAAGTTACAGGCTTTAGAACAGCTGGTACAAGAGCAATTAGATGCTGGACATATAGAAGAATCTACCAGCCCTTGGAATTCTCCTGTATTTGTGGTTAAGAAAAAATCAGGTAAATGGAGAATGGTGACAGATCTCAGAGCTATCAACAAGGTTATTCAACCTATGGGTCCTCTGCAATCTGGAATCCCTTTGCCCTCTTTATTACCAAAAGGATGGCCTCTTATAGTTATTGATTTAAAGGATTGTTTTTTCACCATACCTTTACAAAAAGAAGATAGAGAAAAATTTGCCTTCACGGTGCCTACTTACAACAATTCTCAACCTTCCAAGAGGTACCACTGGGCCGTCCTCCCCCAGGGTATGTTAAATAGCCCCTCCTTGTGCCAATATTTTGTGAACCAACCATTGCAAATAATACGCAAGAAATTTCCCAAATCTATAATATACCACTACATGGACGACATCTTGTTATCCGATTCAAACATGGATACCTTGAACAGACTGTTTGAAGAAATAAAGATACTTTTACCTAAATGGGGATTGCAAATTGCTCCTGAGAAGATACAGAAGGGAGATTCTGTTAATTATTTAGGTTATAAAATAGGTTTGCAAAAAATTAAGACACAAAAGGCACAAATTAGGAGAGATCGCCTACAGACTCTTAATGACTTTCAAAGACTGTTAGGAGACATTTCCAGTCTACGACCAGCTGTTGGGATAACACCTGATCTAATAATTCATTTGAACAAAACCTTGGAAGGTGATAAAGACTTAAACAGTCCCAGAGAATTAACAGCTGAAGCAGAAAAGGAACTGACAATAATTGAGGAAAAATTACAACAGGCACATGTGGACAGGGTGAATCCAGAGCTCGATTGTATTCTCGTCATATTACCATCCAAAATTTCTCCTACAGGAATTTTAATGCAGAGAGATGATATTATCTTGGAATGGATCTTTTTACCACATAAACCAAGTAAAAAACTGAAAACTTATGTGGAAAAAGTCTCTGAGTTAATTATAAAAGGCAAGCTGAGACTTCGTCAACTAGCAGGCATAGACCCAGCAGAAATTATAGTGCCTTTCACTGCTGATGAACTAAAGAAATTATGGGAAGATAATGAAACATGGCAAAGAGCTTGTGCTAATTTTTTGGGAGACATTAATAACAACTATCCAAAAAGCAAGAGGCTTAACTTCATAAAGAGAACTTCTTGGATCCTTCCTCGAATCGTCCGTGATGCTCCAATAACTGGAGCCCGTACATTCTATACTGATGCCAATAAAACAGGGAAGGCAGGTTACAAATCGGAAGACTTGGGTAAGGTGGAACAAAGTCCTTATGATTCTGTCCAGAAGGCAGAA